AAGGTGCTGAAATATCCTGAAGTTCAGCGCCGGGCAGAACCTGTGTCAGATACAGTATCATCCAACTCAGCCTGTGATGGGGAGGGGACGATGTACCCACTCCCTCAGTTGACTGGAAGAGAGTATCTGATGAGACAATCCCTCCTCTTCTCAAACCAACCTTACCAGATCAGGGACCTCCCTCAGAGGAAACCAGGTCTGACAAAGGAAAAGGGGCTGTGGAAGAAGGTATGGAGGACACTTTTCCCAGCATTACACAATGAACACATACATATATGACATATACACACAACATACGATTCATTCAAACTAACCTACACCAGAGCAAGGCTGCTAAGGCAATTTTATGTCGACAACTTGCTGAAGGAAAAGTAGACATAGCANAGCATAGCAGAACTGGGGGCAGTTAGCAACCAGAAAATGCAGGCTCGCCCAAGCAGAGAGAAACCCCCACCGGTACCTTTAAGAGGCCATGGTTGGAGGGCAGTACCCCTACAGAAATGGCCAGAACTCCGAAAAGGCCCAGGGACTTACAAGGAGGCTCTGCCCAATATCAAAGTAGCTATCTTCATGGAAACATCCTGAGGATAAGCTTACCGAAGATGACCAGAATTCCATTCTGGAAGCACTGGGAGAGGTGTTACGTAGGACTCCAAGGGGAGAACTACCACACCTGAAAGNTGTGTCATGTCAGCCTTCCTTCCATATGACTCGGATGAACCACTATCTTCCAAAGAAGTGAGGGACATCGTTGGATATTGCCATCTTAGGAAAAAGCAGCTCATCATTGGGTGTGATGCCAACGCGCACCACACACTGAGGGGGAGCACTGACATAAACCCAAGATGAGAATGCCTCATGGAATATCTGGTGAGTTTGAAGCTTAATATTCTAAACCATGGTAACGATCCAACCTTTATGGTGTGCAATAGGCAGGAGGTTATCGACTTGACACTAGGGACCAATAAAATAGGAAACCTGATCAGTAACTGGCATGTATCTGATGAGCCATCCTTATCGGATCACAAATATACAAGTATATGCTTCCAAATAAGCAACATTACAGTAGATCAAGCTACTTGTAGGAATCCTAAGATTCCCCAAATTGAGAGTCTTACAAAGACGACTTAATGGTAAATCTGGAGATCATCTCGCGAAATATACCCACAATAAAGGATGTTGATTGGTCTGTTGACCAGTTGCAAAGGGCTATTATCTCATCCTTTAATAGGAATTGGCCAGCTAGGACCACTTGCGAACCAAGGAGAGTGCCTTGATGGAATAGACAGCTGAATGGGCTTAGAACCAAAGCGAGAAGGCTGTTTAATACAGCTAAAAGAACAGGGCAGTGGGACACCTACAAGGAAGCACTTACCTGTTACAACAAAGAAATAAGGAAAGCCAAGCAATCGTCATGGAGGAGGCACTGTCAGGAGATCAATGATGTACCAGGCAGTATCAGACTCATGAGGATCATGGCAAAACAGGCAACCAACAAGGTCAGCATGATTAAGCTGCCTAACAGGCAGTATACTCAAACAGGAAGGGAGACACTGAATGAATTATTCAGGGTTCACTTTCCCGATTCAAAATTGATTGATAATATTGGATGGATACAGTCAGCAGAACCTGGGCACTTGCCAAAGCAAGATGAACAAGGTAGACTGGAAACCTGGCCAAAGTCATTATTAAGCAATAAAAAATCAGATGGCACTGAATACCTTTAGGCCATATAAGTCAGCGGGAACACATGGACCGGCACTTTTGCAGCATGGGACAGAACTCTTAGTTCCACACCTATGCCGCATATATAGAGCCTGCATGGCATATGGTTTTATCCCCATGGCCTGGGGGCAAGTTAAGGTGACATTTATCCCAAAGCCCGGAAAACTAGATTACAGCGAGGCTAAGACTCATCGTCCTATCAGCCTGTCATCTTTCCTTTTGAAAATGATGGAGAAAATAGGACATATCCTCTACACCAAAATCAGCATGCCTACCTAACAGGTAAATCTACCAAAAGCACATTACACAATGTGGTAACAAGCACAGAAGGTGCGAATGAACACAAGGATATTGCCTTAGGAGCATTCCTTGACATAGAGGGAGCTTCCGATAGAACCTCATTTGATACAATCAAACAGGCCTCTCGAAAGCATGGCATAGAGCCTGCAATATGCAGGTGGATCAGTGCTATGCTGGAAAGCAGAACCATAGTTGCCATACTATCAGGAGAAACCCTGGGGGTATCCGCGTCTAGGGGGTGTCCGCAGGGGGGCATGCTCTTGCCTCTGCTGTGGAGCCTGGTCATTGACGATCTCCTGTGGGGACTAAATGATGATGGGTATTATACAGTAGGATATGCTGATGACATAGCAATCCTCATAAATGAAGAATTCCTTTCGACCGTATCAGAGCATCTTCAAACTGCTCTGTACACAGTCCAACAATGGTGTGAAAGAACAAGCCTTTCCATCAATCCTAACAAGATGGTAATTATAGCGTTTACGAAGAAGAGAAATATAAAGGCCCTTAAGGAACCGACCCTCTTCAATAAGACGATCCAGCTCTCTAGTGATGTCAGGTACCTTGGTCTAGTATTAGACAAGGGACTGACATGGGAAAAGCAGCTGGACAAGGTCATCAATAAAGCACATATGGCTTTTTTGACATGCAAAAGCATGTTTGGTAAAACTTGGGGACTGCAGCCACACGTTGTGCATTGGATATACACTGTGGTTGTAAGACCCATAATTACATACGGTGCCCCAGAGTTCAACTCAAGACAAGCAAGGCAGAACTTAGCAAACTGCAAAGGCTGGCTTGCTTGGGTATCACAGGAGCAATTCCAACATCTTCAACAGCTGCACTGGAGACACTCCTTGGACTCCCTCCACTGCATATACAGTTGGAGGCAGAGGCCAGGGCAGGAATCTACCATCTCCAGTGCAGTGATCAATGGAAACCTAAATCCGATAGTTTCGGACATGCATACATAACTTAGGACATGAAAAAAGAACCCATATTACAAATGGGGTCTGACAAAATGATACTGAGACATGTATATGAAAAACCCTTCACAGTTAGATTTCTTGACAGGAGTGAATGGGAAGACGGATTTCGGCCCGATAGAAAAGGGGGCTGATCTGGTATACAGATGGTTCCAAGATAAATAAGGGCACTGGAGCTGGTGTGTATTGCTATGGTACGAGGCGGAAACTTAGTTTCAGCCTTGGGCCGTACACGACAGTCTTCCAGGCAAAAGTATATGTCATTAAGGCATGTATTATGGAGAATCTAGATAGGAACTACAGAAATAGGAACATCTACATTCTATCTGATAACCAAGCTGCACTTAAAGCGCTTGACAAACACCAGATCAACTCAAAATTGGTCTGGGATTACCATCAAACTCTCATGGAACTGGCCAAACATAACAGGGTACAACTGATATGGGTGCCAGGGCATGAGGGTATTGCTGGAAACAAAATAGCAGATCAATTGGCCAAGATTGGAGCTGAACATCTGTCCATAGGACCTGAACCAGCCTGTGCATCTCTATACGAGTCACCAGAAAGGCAATCAGGGACTGGATAAATATGAATCACAAGAAATACTGAGAATCCTTGACTGGACTCAGGCAAGCAAAGGGACTCATACAAGGACCCTCTACTAAAAGAGCAAAGGAACTGTTGAAGTTAAACAGGAACCAGCTACAATGGGTGGTAGGACTACTTACAGGACACTGTCACCTTAAAGGACACCCCTTTAAATTGGGACTAAGTAATAACCCCACTTGTGAGAGGTGTCAAGAAGAAAATGAAACAGCCACACATATCCTGTGTGAATGTGAGGCCTTAGCTTATTTAAGATTGCATCACTTGGTTCAATATTTTATGGAACCAAGTGACTATTTTGACGTTCCCATGTACAAAATTCTGCATGTCATTCAAAGCGCAGGATTGCTGAGGGGATAACCAGAAGGGGAGGCACAACAGATCATTGTGGTCACGGTGCAAGGGTCAAGAAGGCCCACCCCTTATACATTTATTCATTCAATACTTACAGCATCAAGGATAGAGTTCTTTCACTATTATCAGACAGAGAGATGGCTTTGTACCAAACTATAACTGTGTCTTAATGCCAATATATCAAAGAACAGATGTTTTATGCTCACTGTCTCCAAAGGACAGAGAGCATCTGCACCACAGTTGTTTGAAATGATATCCCAGAGTGCCTGTGGCAGGTGGTGATTGATGTTATCAGATGTCCACTGAATTCCATACAAAAGAACTTGCCCTCACTGGTTCAAAAGGCTTCAACTGAATAAAAATCGTTCTGCTCCATTAATTGGGCCTTAGAACTCTGGGTGGGAAGAAGAATGTTTGGAAGCTGTGTGTACCAACCCAAGTGACATAATCCACTTCTTCTAACTCACTCCAAAGAGAAAGTTGCAAAACAATTAGTTACGTTCCTTTCACCTACTCTCTTGTCAAATCAGAAGAGACTACTTTTGTATCTGTCCCTTCTGAACATGATCAGGCCCGACTAACTCCACTACCTACAAGAGCTTGTAATTCAAACAGTAACTTGTCAGAAGGATGAAACTAGCACTGCAATAAGGAGTAAGAAAACATTTTCACTATACAATATGTGTTCAGGCTGGAAGCATCTTCACTCCAGAAAGATGTCTGTTATGATTTTACTGCTGTCTTATGTACGAACAAAATCAAAACAAGTCTTTCAGAGGCCTTCTGAGGGTTGTAAAAATGGGAATCACAAAGTCTAGAACCATGCAGTCTGGACAGAGGGCTTGGAACCAATTACACCCTCAACATCTATTTTAATGTTGTGCACCAGGAAGTGTAAATCTGTGAATTTTTATCCAAGTTGACCATGAAGTGTTAATTATGAGTAATCTGTGCACTGAAAGCTGTAATATAAAATGCCACTCAGAAAATAATTAAATGAAAACTGAGAAGAAAAGAGCTGTCACTTACCTGATTTCTTCTTGATATATCTCCAAATAGGAAGTGCGTACAAGATACTGGACATTAGAACTCCGAGATATATGACTGAAAATTTGTTCAAAAGATTTTGGAATTATCCCTTTTTGAGATGGATCAGTCCTACAGCCTATAAAAGTAAAACATTAGTGTGAAGATGTTTAGACACATTTCATGTTAAATATGTTACTGCACTGCTAAAGATTCTATCAGAAAACTGTTTATGTGTCAGCTGTCTGTGCAGCTCACCTGCAGTGCTAGTGAATGTTACAGAACAGAAATGGAAACACATGATAAGCAACTACAACCCCACACACAAACACCCATGAAAATCTTTATATGCAGGGATATTCAAAATTCTAAGGCCAAATTTTAGGAGGCCATTGAGAAGATAATTTGAATCAGAAAATATATGAAAAAAATTGTCTGATTCTTCTTACTTTGTTGTCCCTATACTTAACTAATGAAGCACTATGCCATGAAGGCAAGTGGGGGAGTGAATGATCCACACTTTCTTGACCCTGATATTAGCTGGAGATGAGCGATCAGCTTACCACCCTGGTAGCTTCACACCCCCTTGAAAGAGCTGCCCATTGGATAGGAGGTTGGGTGGAACCCAGAGCCGATTAGCATAACGTTGAGAAGAGATAATTCTTGACCCTAGCAGGACTCAAACTCCGATCCCTTGATCATCCAGCCTGTAGCCAGTCACTATACTCACTATGCTATCCAAGCTCTTCTGATATGATGATTTATATTTTCTAATCCAGATTATCTTCCTGGCAGCATCCTAAGTTTGACCTTCTGATTTTGATTGTCCATACATACAGAATTTTCACATGACTGTGTGTGGGATTACAGTTACCTACCATGTTTCAGAGTTACAGCGTTTCATACTTCCACTCTTGACTTATTTTTGTTTATGTATGTGTGGTTCAGCCTTCACAATGTCACAAGCAAAGCTTATTTTACATTTGCTCATGGCTCACATTACTTCTAGTGGCAGAGTAGTGATAACAGCAGAAGAGGATGGCACAATTTACTAATGCAACACACAATGATATGAATTTCACACATGGCTTTTGTGATGGAAATGCCAGAGCTGCATTAAGGGAATACCAGCATCAGTATCCATACCAGAGGCAAAGCAACAGATGGATTTGCAACGGCATACCACACCCTGAGAAACAGGCACATTCATCCACTAGCACACTACCTGCGGCAAAAGAAATGTATGAGATACTGTATATACTAATCCACTGACTAGCGCTAGAAAACTGAGATTAACGGCCGTGGGGATCAGTTGCGCTGACCATGCAACACCCTATATCTGCTTAAGTTGGCACTAACTTCGCCGACAAGCGGCGGTCGCTCGGTCGGTATAGTTCGCTTGCGGACTACAGGCCATGGAGTAAGTAAGCGCTCACCAGATCTTATATGAAATAGGCCTCTCTCTGGGTGAAGTCCAGTGTACAGTGCATGAACAGCAGGTCTAATGTTTCCATGCACAACCTGTACAGTTACTATAACCAGTGGATAATAATCTTTGCCTCCAGTTCTGTAGATGGCTTCTACATAAAACTGTATATAAACCTAATGTTTTGTGTTGTGTATCGTTGTCCAATGAGGCAACAGTCAAAAGAAGATGGGTAAACATTGTCACACAACCTACAAGAACAGGTACTAGACCAGTGTTTCTCAACCGCCAGGCCACGGCCCAGAACTGGGACCTCATCTTATAAAAAGAGAATTTACCAGGCAGAGGTCTCACAGAGGTTGAGAACCACTGCAATAGACAACACTCTTGCTATGTATCGCCTGCATTTCAACAAAGATTTAGTGTCAACATCTTGGCCTGAACAGCAGATAAGTGCCTACCTGGACCATACACAAATGTGAATTATCTCAACAGAATCCAATACAATGATTTCCCAGAAAGAACACTTTCATTTCCAAAAAAGGATGCCCCTTTAAATGTTCACATGGGCATAAGGTTTCAGCATGACTGTACCCCACCCTACTTTTCATGCAAAGTGAGTACAAATGATTAAACAACCTTCCCCAGACACAAGTATCAGCCATGGGGGTACAATCCCCTGGCCTCCACATTCTCCTCATCAAAACCCATTTGGTTTTTTTTTCTTACAGGGATGCATCAAAGAAAATATTTATGCCACTAAAGTACAAGGTCATAACCTCATCAACTGTATCCTGAAGTGGTGGAATGAAGATTGGCAGGGGAAACCGAAGTACCAGGAGCAAACCTGCCCCAGCACCACTCTGTCCACCACAAATCCCACTTGACCAAACCTGGGACTGAACGTGGGCCGCCGCGGTGGGAAGCCAGCGACTAACTGTTGAGCTATGGCGCAGCCCTAATTAGGAGTAACATGAGGTGCTACTGGAAAGTTCCTGGACTAGATCAAAAAAGAAATGCTGGCTTAACTTAATTTTGGTTGCCATCTCCTAAAAAAAAAGTCTCCTTGGGAACATATACAGCAATCCTAACATTTTTTTCCATGCTTCAAATCACAGTGGAAGTCAATTTCCTCAATGCTGTTGAGTACCGCTTGTGACTCCCTTTGGATGTCACACGCTGTTTCAAAATGTTGTCCATTCAGTTTCATTTTCAATTTGGGAAACAAAGTGAAATCACAGGGGGCCAAGTCCGGTCAGTAGGGAGGATGGGGAATGATAACCATGTTGTTAGTCACAAACTCTTGTGGTTTTCAGGTACACGTGAGCAGGCATGTTGTGATGAAGGAGCCAGTTGTGGTTGCACAAAATTTCTGATCTTTTTCGTCACGTATTTTCTCCCAAGCATCTCGAAACATCATAGTAAAAGTCAGAGTTGACCACTGTTAAGAGAAACAAATTCACGGTGAACAATCACCTTCATGTCAATGTTTTTTAACATTTTCTGTCATTCTGCTGCTGCTTCATTGCCCTGAACATTCCTCACCTTCACCTGATGCTCAACCGGCCTTGAAACGTGAATGCCATTCAAAACCCACTGTCAAGCTTAAAGTATGTTCTCCAAAACCCTCACAAAGAATTTCAAGGGATTTGGTACCAGATTTACTGAGCTTCACTCAAAACTTAATGCACATACGTTGATTTTGACATCCATTGCAGACAAAACAAAACAGGAAGTCTAAATAGCACTTGTGTAAAAACAATGTGTGTTCAGAGAGCAGACTGATGCAACAGGCTTGTAGAAGTGTCACCTTGACCTACCCTCCCATCTTCTTTCACTAAGGGAGTTACAAAAATAACAGCCTGAGAACTTGTTTCTTTTTTCTTAAAAAGGGGAACACTGTCATAACACAACATGGATGATGAATCAAAGAATTATTAACATTTTTTTGCTCCAAATTATCTTCCCAACAGCCTCTTAAAGTTTGGCCTTAGGACTTTGGGTCAGCCTATATACAGAACGAGAAAAAAATTACATATACAGGGTGTTTCACGACTTTATGGCATAACTGCAGGAGGTGATTTCCTAGGTCTTTGTGATCAGAAAAGTTCATATAAACATGTGTCTGATTTTGGACAGTTACGGAGTTATGACCATTTTTTCATTCCCGTACACACCCTCGTGTGAATCGCGTCTATCATCTGGCGGGTCGCTGCTTTTAGCCAGCTACAGCCAGAGCATTCTCGTTATCTCAACACTTGAGAGGTATGTAAGGCATGGTGGGTTGGTATGTCCGGCCATGGCTAGTGTGGCAGCTACTGGTGTTCAGAACAGTTCTCATCTCGGTGCGTCTGTTACGTTCACGATGCCATTTACATTTTCATTTGAGGAGTATGGAGATATGATTTATGTGTATGGGTTTTGTGACGGTAACTCAGTTCTTGCCATAGCTGAATATCAGCAATGGTTTCCGAATCGTACAATACCGAACAGGAGAGTGCTTACTGGAGTTTACCAGGTACTGCGAGATACCAGTAGACTTCCCGGCATTCGTATTGCAGCCAAGCGTGGTGTTAGTGAAGGCATCAGTGAAGAAGGCACTGTTCGTATGGTACACCGCAGTCCATGTACAAGTATGCGAAGAATTGCCAGCCAGGTCTCCAGACTTAAGCCCACTGGATTATTGTGTGTGGGGATGGATGAAAGAACTGGTTTACAATGTGAAGGTGGCAACATGAGATGCTTTGCTCGGTCACATTCTGGACGCCGCTGACCACATAAGAAACAGCCAGCTGAAGCTGCTACAAGCTACCCACACGGTTCACAACCAAGCAGCAGCCTGTGTTGCGGCTGGCGGTGGCATTTTCGAAAATCAGCTTTAAGCACCAATCAATTCAAATTAAAGGTAATTTCACGAAGTTAACTTTACATTCATATTTTAAATGTATCATGTATTATGCTGGTTTATTATTTTGTTCCGTTTATTGTCAGTAATCGTTACCTTCTATTCTGAGTTTAAAACAGTCATAACTCTGTAACCGTCCAAAATGGGACCCATGTTTATATGAACTTTTTTTGATCACAAAGACCTAGGAAATCACCTCCTGCAGTTATGCCCTAAAGTTGTGAAACACCTTGTATACTTCAACAGAGGTTATCTATGGACATTTCCAAAGTTGAACCAAATGTAATGTACTGTGACGTATTTGCGCTATGCAGGACACCCCCTTCCAGCGGTGACATAACAGCATTGGAGCCACTGCCGCTGCTACGCTAACAGGCCAGTAAACACAGTAAACGGCAGGGACACCGCTATTAACACGAGGCAACAGGAAACGGTATAAAAAGCTGGCTGAGCAGTATGTGTGATCAGGAGTGACACAGTTTGGATTGTGAAGTCGCCGAGAGCAGTGGAAGTAATTGTGATACTGCCGATGGCAGTAATTGTGTAACTGTGAATTGTGTAAGTGTATGAGCGAATGTGCAATAAATTTGCTACATTCAATACAGTGTGAAGTTATTTGTCACGTCACATACCCAACATGTGACAATTTGGTGTCTATGAACTTAAACACGCCTCGATCTAGGAAGAATTACTGAACTCAGAAGTATATCGAGTGTTATCATGCCAAAAAGAAAAATGGAGAAGCAAGAGATGCAACGAATAATCAAAATGCTGGCAATATTTCAGGCAAAATTGGACGCTAACCAGGCAAAGGCAGACACCGATAGAAAAGCCTGGCGAGAAAAGACAGACACCAGTAGAAAAGCCTGGCGAGAAAAGATTGCCGCAGGAACGGAAGCCATCCAAGCAAGGACAGAAGCGATCAAGGGCGAAAACCATGCAAGAAAATATGGGTGCCAGCCACAAGGAGATGGTGGCCAAAATCAAACCCAAAATGGACGTAAAGACAATGGCCTGCCAAGAGATGGCAGCAAGCCTAGAAGAAGAGTAGACCTCGGTGGAAATGAAACCTGAGGTAGCACAAAAAGATGTCCCCATGGAAGATGCCTTTGTGCAACCAGTCAAAGGATGGAAGAGGCGGTATAGAGGCAAGACGCAAGCTGCAGAGCAATGCGAGGTGCCAAAGGAACTGACCTGAGGAATTTGTGGATCCTGGATGAAGTTGGCTGCCACCTGCAGGAAGGTGTCCCGCCGTGCAACAATGGCACGACATAGGAGAGATGCCTTCAAGAAAGAACGGACCCAAATTCAGGATGGGTGACAGAAGAAATGATGCCCCTCCCGGAAGGATGACCCACCGTGCAGAGTGGCATGGCGCAAGGGACACATCGTCGGGAACAACCAGACTAGGAACAGCGTTGCAAGAGGAGCCCTCAATTTAAGGTCCATCTGACGCATACAAATTAAGCTAACCAAAAAACCCCCCACCAATCTCACAGAAACCCAAACCAAAACTAAAGAAATTAACTAAAACAGGAAAAACACGTTGCAACCCATATCCGCCCCGGCTTAAGCAAAACCCCAGCCAGAATCTCTGAACCAGACACGGGGGCCTCCACATGAGCCCTGGGCAACCATAAATGATCCAAAAATATGGGCATCCTAACCAAAAAGGCAAAAATCATACAAAAATAAAGAAAACCACTAAAAACCCACCCTGCCAAAATAAAAAAACTAACAGAACACAAAGAACCAAAAATACAAAAAATCCCTACCAACATAGGAAGAGAAGCTAACAGTGTATAAAAGAGCAAACAAATCCCAGCCAGAGGGCGGAGACTTCAGGTGGAACTGGAGGGCAGCATTGGAGTGAAGGATGAACACACAAGACAACAGCTGCATCCTGGGAATGAGAGAACAGCCAACTGAACACTCAGAAAGACCCTAGGGCTGGTTGTCAGGCAACAAGCAGTAGACATTTCCAGCGGATTACAGAACATCAAAAACTGGACACTGTGGAGGGGTCGACCCCCTCCGAAACAGGAAAGGAAACAAGGAACAGAGGAGGAACTGGTAATGTAGAAACACCAGCCTCCCCGGATTGAATGGAGAATGAAAGTGAGGAGTGAATGTGATATAACGCTGGACCATGGAATTGTTCAGGATGAACAATCTTAACAAGGGAGTGGATATAACAGCCGGAGAATAGTTGCTGCTAGAGGAGTAGCCAGACAAAAGAAAAAGATGATGTTGCAAGAACAGCCTTCAAAGAAAAGGAACGAGGATGTACCATTAGGCTGTTCAGGGCGAACAACATTTAGAAGGGACCAGTGTGACGTATTTGCACTATGCAGGACACCACACTCCAGCAGTGACGTAACAGCATCGGAGCCATGGCCGCTGCTACGGTAACAGGCCAGTAAACACTCTGCCCCCCCCCCAAAGTGACGTAATAAGGGACACCACTGTTAACATGAAGCAACAGGGAATGGTATAAAAAGCCAGCTGAGCAGTATGTGAGCAGTGTGTGTGATCAGGAGTGACACAGTGTGGATCGTGAAGTGGCTGAGAGCAGGGGAAGTAATTATGATACTGCCGATGGCAGTAATTGTGTAATTGTGAACTGTATAAATGTACGAGCTAATGTGCAATAAATTCGCTATATTCAATACAGCATGAAGTTATTTGTCGTGTGACATACCCAACACATGACAGTATGTTGTGCAGTGTGATATTCTCTCAAAAGATGGTGCTAGTCATATGAATGATAGAGCCACCTTATCAAATGGCAGAACAGTGAAAGAAATTTGTGGCAAAACAGTTATTGTTTGAGCAACACAAGATAGTTTGCCAGTGGTACGGGAAATTTGGAAATGTGCAAAGTACAAAGACAGTGGCAGCATGAATTTGCAATGGAACTCCCAACACAACTGTAAACTGCAAAGAATTTGAAATAAAAGGTGACTGCACTAGAGGAGCAGTAGTGTTGCTGTGAAGTAACGCGCAAACAGTGATCTCATCTCAGGAGCAAATGTGGTTACAGATGGTAGGATATAACTGTTCCACAAATCGATAATTGTTAGGGCATACATAAGTTACCTTTACAAGTGTACTTGTGAATAAAAACTGTATGAAAAGACAGACACACACTGTTTGTGCACCATCTGAGATGAACTCTCAAACTTTGTTCTGAACATTACACACATTCAACATGGGCACCATTTGTCACACATATAATGTCCAAGCGATAGTAAAGCTCCATCCACATATACTGCAGCATGTCAACATCAACTGCTGCAACAGCAGTTTGAAAATCTTTCCCCAAGCTCTCAGTAGATGGGTGCTCTATGATGCAGCACACATATATCAACTGTTGCAAAATCTAATTGAATTCTGTTCCACTGTGTGTTATCATCGGGTCAGTTACCATTAACCTGCAGGAGAAGGCATAGTGCAGGGGGTGGATTATCAAAACGAAGCTGGATACACAGGTCCAAAGATGTTTCAGAACAATGCATCATAAGATGCCACCATCATGACCATAGTACGTGCTTGGTATAAACAGTTTAAGGGTATCAGAAATGTTCTGCACAATAAAGATGCTGTGTGTCCGACGGTGATTCATGAAAAGGTCAAAGGCATACACTATGTCTTTTCAGCAGTCCATGATGTCAATTCAAACTAAAGCATGTGAGTTACAAATGTCACATTCAATAGTGCAGTTGGGGTTACAAAAATGTTTGTGTCTGTATGTGAACAAGCTGCAAGTGATGCAGGCAATTACACCAGATGACAGGCTAAATCAATTTCCAGTGACAATGCTTGAGAAATTTGAGGAAGACAACTGATTCCTATGAAAATTCATGCTCTCTGATAAGGCTACAACCCATATTTCAGGGAAGGCAAACAAAATGTATGTACCTGGGAATCAGAACACTCTTAAGCTACAGTGGACCACATTACAGACACCCTCAAAGTTAGTGTGTGGTGTGGCCTGTTGCACGGTTGTTCAAGTGGATCATTTTTATCTGCCAAAGCAACTGTGACATCCAGCAATTGCCTGGCTATGATGGAGAACACGGTATATCCATATTTACAGGAACTGCATCATGCCATGTTCTTCTGGAAAGAGGAAAACGACAACAAGCTTGATGGTGCAAGAATCTCTTAATCAGCATTTCCAAAGCTGATGGACTGGCTGTGCTGGTCCACTCTCTTGGCCATCCAAATCACTGATTAACACACACTGTAATTTTGTCCTATGAGGATATGCAAAAGACCACATCTAACAAACACTGGTGACCAACATTCATTAACAATTTGAAGAACAGAACACAAGCTGTTGTTGCAAAAGCTAATACTGACATAATGCAGCATAAATATCACTTGGACGCTGTATATTTGAGAAAATGGTGCAAATGCTGAATGTGTGTAATGTTCAGAACAACAAATATTGTGAGAGGTTTTGTTACAGATGATGCACAAACAGTGTGTCTATGTCTTTCCATATGGATTTTATTCACCAGTAAACTTATGAACATAATCTATGCACAGCCTGCATAATGTTACTCTTTTCTGTCTTCAAATTCTTACTGGAGAGTCAGATTTATATGCAGCATGATGTTGAAGGGTTATAAAACATACAAAAGCATACCTCCTAGGATGGTGGCTGACACAGACTTCCAATATAATTATCTCAGTTATCCACTAATAAATTTATAAGGTTCTAAAGTTACAGTTGTTTAACAACTTATTATATAAAATGAAGGAAGGACATTTCTGGTGGAACTTCAGGCTAATCATACCACAAGAAAAACTGAACTTCAGTACAGTGATTTCTCTGGTCAATGTAGAGTGTCAAATTTTACCCAGATTCGTTTACATCAATGTTTTCATACACATGAAAAACAATCATCATTTTAAGAACAAAGACAGGCATGGAATGTAAATCTTCTAAAGTGGAATTCTTGCAGTTTGCCTGTTTAATTTCAGCCTTTCAAATTATCAGACTTCAACAATTAACAGAAACATAAACAGAGATATCACTATAAACTGCCAGGTATCAACAAGTCACTGAAGTTGCCTTGACATAACCAACCTTCCATCGTGTATGTTTTCCCTGTTCCAGTTTGCCCATATGCAAAGATTGTTCCATTGAAACCATCAAGCACTGAACTAACAAGAGACCTAACTGTTTCCTCATATATATCATCTTGAGTTGAACTGAAAAGGAAAAGACACAACAATATTAGCTATTCATCTTCATTCACTGCTATTACATCTTATAATAATATCAGCTTCATCAATGAAAAGTAGTATGCTGAAACAAAAATAGTGTTATTTTGCAACACAGTGATAAACATCAAGAGCTCCTTCCTCTCCTAATTAGGGATTTGTTTCTCTTCTCTACAATTACTAGATGAATTTACACACATTTGCAGGTGTTACTGTTGCTATCAACTATTCACGCTCATTTATCACCCACTTGGTTGGCTTACCTGGACACATACTGTTTCAAACTGAAATGTCCCTTGAAATTTATCATTACTTAATATTGTGAAACGATGGACAAAAAATTACCCCTGCTAGCTAAAGGCTCAATAAACACATGTCTGGGGCAATGGATATGCATGAAATAACATAAGATCTGCTGGAAACGATATTTTCTGTGTCGCCCATCCTCAGGCTGTGTAACTCGCTTGGATAAGGTAAGTTCGTTCATTCATTCATTCATTCATTCATTCACTGTTAGAGGGGGTGGGTCTCCCCATGCACTTAGACCAGTTATTGGTCCATTGTGCATCCCCCTTTAATTTCTACTGTCTCCATACCTTACCGGTACTGGTGCCCGCTATCAGCCCCATTCTGCCAGTGAGGTCGGCCCTCTACTGGCAGTGGTATCTGATAATTAGTTCCTTTCTGTCAGCGAGGTCGGCCCTCATCTGGCAGTGGTACCTAATACTTTCCCCATCTACCGGAGGCACTGGAAACTACTTGGGCGGGAAAATTTGCCTAATTTAGCTCAGAGGTCTCCTAGAGACATGAGGTTCTTTTACGACACAGGACCGACAGCTTAAAGTCCCTCCCGGAGGACTTGTTCCCTGAATTTTTTCTGCCCTTAAAAATTCCACGACCTCCGCTGGGTTTGAACCCGCGTACCTTCAGTCATGAGGTGGGAATGTTACCCTTAGAGTATGGAGGCCACTATAAGGTAAGTTAGTGATGATGGCAGCCCATGTGGAGCCAGGTTCGCATACCTCCATCACAGCCATACACATCATATGAGGCAACAAGAAGGGAACCCAATGCCTGGGGTTATAACTGGGCCAACCTGTTCCCAGGGGATATAAATAGGGGACCTGGCCCTCTAAGTTGGGGAAATCTCAAAGTCTCGAATCTGAGAGAGTAAAATTCGAGTTTCTACCTGAAAGTTCCCGGACTAGGTCAAAAAAGAAATGCTGGCATAACTTACTCAATTTTGGAGGCCATCTCCTTCAAATTAGTCTCCTTGTGAGCGTATACAGCAATCCCATCATTTTTTCCATGCTTCAAATGAACTGTGGAAGCCGCGTGCGTTGTATTTGCACGCAGCCACAAGAGAAGGACACATCACAAGATGCAGTATACACAAAATATAGGAAGAACGACTCCCATAGTGGAAGACTGATATAATACGCGAGTTTCAAATACGACGTATAAGATAATAAATCTTAATAAAATTTTAATATATAAATTTTATTATAGTACATGATGAATATACATTTTAAATCATTTTATAAACGACACATGATGGCGAGCAGTGCACTAGTTTAACGTAAATAACACACCCGAGGATGGCACGGTGATGCTGAAACATGTAGTGAAGTGACAAGTGAGATTGTGTGCACTAGAAGACAGTCAATACATACACATCATGGACGTGAATCAGTGCAACAGGACGCTAAAATACAACATTATTAACACCAATATGTGCTATAATTTTTCCAGGTTTGTCTTCCTGGCTGTTACAGACATACTGATTCCCAAAATTGATCACTGAGGAAAATAAAAAGGTGATCTCTCCCCATATCACAAGGCAAATGGTCATGAACAGGACACAGAAAAAAAAAACGCACTGTGAACACATACGTGAAGAATCACTCTCACAACTGAACTCTCATTCTAGTGTGTACACTGCATCACTTTCTATCAGAACACAAACACGAAGCATCTGAATCCATCATTTGATTCTCATTAACTAACTAGTACAGACAACTCACTCAACCCAGACATCTTATTGTAACTCAACATGACTTCATGACCTTAACCTGGCCCTCTCCATCCAGCATTGAAGCAAGATGAATTTATGACTGTAGCTGCACCAATATGATGTGTTCAATTTTATGGCTGATTTTGCCACATTTTCTTATGTTAGAAGGGGCAAAACCTTTTTGAGTTTAGTAAATCCTGCTAATTTGAGTGACAGAGAGCAGCAAAGGACTAATTTGTGTTGCTGAGGAAGTGTGCTATCCATTTTATCTAATACACATGAACCAAAGGGATATCAAGCTGTACATGATACACTTAAAAGGTAGTGAAGGAAGGTTGTAACAAACCCGGATAACACACAATAACTGTGTTTTAAAACATCAGCTATACAAGAGCATGAAACCAATGAGTCCTCTTTTAACATAGGTAAATACTGTCATTTGTTAGTGACTACACGAGATGTGGATTGAGAACCGGATTTAATGAAGCTCCATAACTCATAACTACGTGGTGCAATCCAAAAGTTCCCGAAATATATTAATAAAAACTATTACATCTTACCTAGATCTTATTCTGCACCATCACCTTCAAAGTAGTCCCCTTGGGAGCGAATACACCGATCCCAGCGTTTCTGCCACTTTTCAAATGCATCCTGGAAGTCTTTCTTTGTTAGGGTGTTTAGTACCATCTGTGTTACCACTTGAATTTCCTCAATTGTATCAAATCTTCGCCCCTTCAACTTGATTTTCATATTGGGGAAGAGAAAGAAGTCACATGGAGCTAAGTCTGGCAAGTACGGTGGGTGGGGAACAACTGCCATCTTGTTTTTAGCCAAAAATTCCTGCACAATGCGTTGTCATGGTGGAGTACCCATTCGTTCGTGCGCCACTTCTCTGGACGTTTTCTCCTCATGTCCTCCCTCAAACACCTTAGAACATCACGATAGAACTCTTTATTGACTGTCTGACCAGGAGGGACAAACTCCTTATGAACAATCCCATCAATATCAAAAAAGCAGATCAACATGGACTTAATGTTGCTCTTGATTTGTCGAGCTTTTTTTGGCCGAGGTGAAGAAGGGCTCTTCCATTGCGATGATTGCTGCTTGCTTTCAGGGTCGTAGCCATAAACCCAACTTTCGTCACCAGTGACAACCTTCAAAAGAAAGTTTGGTTCCTCTTGAAGCTGTTGCTGAAGTTCCCTGCAGACTTCCAAGCGATGCTGCTTCTGTTCATTTTGCAGCAGTCGTGGCACAAACTTCGCCACAATCCTCATGTTCAGTTCCTCTGACAAAATTCGTTGACATGTACCATAACTTAGTCCCAAGGTGTTACGGAGGTCGTGGATGGTCAGTCTACGATGTTGTAGATCAGATCCCTAACTTTTGCGATACTTTCTGGTGTGGTGCCAATTGACGGCCGTTCAAAACGATCATCATCATCATCAGTCGATGTTCAGCCATTTTGAAACGCTTATACCAGTCGTAAGTTTGTCTGGCCTAAACTGTTGTCAACAAAAGCTTGCTTCAACATTTGGTGCATTTCTGCAGTGGGTTTCCCAAGTTTAAAACAAATCTTTATACAGATATGCTGCTCTCTGAGGTCAGCCATCGCAAAACCACAAACTCACAGAAACACAAAACAAGGAAATATGTTCACCAACAATAAACCCAACCACACAACTCGATGCTGCTTCCCACACTGATTCAAGAAGGATGTGTGAGGAGACACCTAGCGGTATTTCAATGTACTCATAACCATTCTCGCGCAAAATTCAAATTTCAGAAACTTTTGGATTGCCCCACATATACAGAATTATTAATCTCTCACTAATTCACGCACCCTAAAAATCGCTACAGCACACGCTAAGTCTTCCCAGTCTGATGCGCCTTCATGTGCCTGCTGCTTGGTAGCAGCTCCCAACAATGCAGATTCCTCTGCTTCGATGTTCATGACCTTGCCATCTGGCACCCCTTAGCTACAACTACTAATAACCAACTCCCGACCATGAATTTCAGCTCTGACCTACGGCTCAAGATTGGCTCAATGACACTGCTGCTGGCCTTCCTTTATCACCTTTGCAGAGACCACATAGAAAACACAGCTTCCAACAATTCTGTTGTGTCATACATCTTTCAGCTCCCCTACTCCATCTTTCATCCATCATGTCACAATATTATAGAATGATATTTCAAATGTCCTGAACAGTGCGATGTAATTACCATTATAAAACTTTTATTGCCTGTTATACAGTGTGTTTAGTTAAGGAGGAAACTTCACAACACCACTGATCTGGCCCAATATTCCTCACAGATTGCTGCTGTAACTGCTGATAGCAGACTGAGTCATTAGCACTAATAAACGCACGCCGTTACAGTTACAGGAGCAATCTGTGAGGATTATTGGGCCCAGTCAGTGGTAGTGCAAAGATTCTTCCTTGATTGAATGCCCTGTATAATACAATATTATAATAAAAATCTATGCAATTCAAGTCTGATGCTGTAGTTCTCTGAAGCAAACTCTTATATACACTACATCATAGCACACACGATGACGCTTACTTCCAGCCATACACTGCATCATATGTAAAAGACTTCTTGTTTTCACGGGGATCCTTTGCATTGGGGTTAAAAATATCGATAGCACCTCTACTGGGGAAGCACTCAACCACACTGCAAAGAAAATAAAATAATATATCAGTATTACAACAAATATAATGCTTATACCATATGAGTACCTTTCCTGTGTAATCTTGTTCTTTTGCAAAATTACAATTGGAATAATTAACCTTTATGAGTCGAAGGACACCGTATGGGGACCTTTAAAGTAAAGCCTAGTGGCCGAAAGACACCGTATTGGTATGCGCAGTCCACGTGTGCGCACAGTGTTTTAAAATCTAATTTTAAGATAGAAATTCTTGTTCTACTTACATTATTTTTGGATACCCGCTTTATAAGTAGACTGTCCTCCCTCCTGCATCATCTAACTGAATGTTGCATTAACTGAATGCAGAGTCCAACTTTGCAATTCATGCACTTTGTCCGTATGTAACTCTGTTTTCCACGTGAAGCGCACACACGCAACATCTGTCTTGTATTAGCAGGAAGTAGGCCAGTGATGGTGAGTGGTCTCCTCTATTCGTAACGCTTATAAAACATCACAATTTCAACTATGCACCATGGCCCCTTTTCGCATGGAAGAAGCCAAAATTGAGAGGCCGCTCATAAATCACACCATTCAGAATGTGGTACACAAGGCTGAAAGCACGTAGAAGAAAGGGGCCATGTGGGGGCCTTTCTACATTATTTTTGGACCCCAGCTTTATAAGTAGACTGTCTTCCCTCCTGCATCATCTAACTAAATTTTTCATGTAACTGAATGCAGAGTCCGACATCGCAATTCATGCACTTTGTCCGTATGTAACTCTGTTTTCCACGCGAAGCACACACATGCAACATCAGTCTCGTATTAGCAGGAAGTCAGCCAGTGTTGCCGATTTGCCTTCTCTAATCATAACACTTATAAAACATCGCAATTTCAACTATTCCCCATGGTCGCATTTCACATGGAAGAAGCCGAAGTTAATAGGCAGCTGATAAATGTCACTGATTTAGAATGGGTACATAAGACTGAAAGTACACAGAAGCAAGGGGCCATGTGTGGGCCTTTCTAACAAGCTTAACAGTACTTCTTGTGTGGCAGATACGTGTATACACAGACAGAGTTTCTGAGGGACGTGACCTCACTCCTGTATACAGAAAGGTTTGGAGTGCTATAAAAGCATAAACATTTCCTCCCCTTTGGCCATATAAGCCAGTACCAGTATGAATGATGTCAGCAGCAGGCATTTATACTGCAAAAACGTTTTGTGCAGAAACTGACTGCATATTTGTGGACAGACGGTTAAATTGGGAAAACAATTTTTTGGAATCAGTGTAACAATTTTTACAGATTCTAAAATCTGTAAATTACAATATCTGATTCTATATTCTTTCTAGATAAAAGCAGCATTTATTTCATTCGTTTATCACAAAAATTGTATAAATCACAGCATTTTGAGTAACATGATTACAATTTTTATTACTCTACAATGGCAGGCATTTAAATTAACTCCGGCCCGCTACCATTACCGGAATTTAAATGGCCCGTCCCTTAAAGGTTAAAAGAGATACAATTAGGTTTCAAATAAGAAGTACATTAGATGAGATTCTCACAGCAGTATCCTGTGCATGTAACGTTATTTAGTCTGGTGCTTCACCAATTCATCAGAGGACTGTACTGCCTCCATCTTCAGGATTAAAAAATAAGAAGACATGCAAGAAACCAGAAAAGCAGGTGGCAGAGTACAACAGAGTTCTGCTTGCTGCCTAATTCTTGCTGGTTTCTTGCTTGGGTATTCTTCAACCCTAACAATGGAGGCATAATGTTCCTCCAAAATGTCAGTTTCTACCGGACCACATTGTGTCATATCCCAGAAGACAGAATTCTTCAAGAAGCTCTGGAGAAATATGACAAAACTCATATACTGTTTTCACGACAAACATAAGTGGAAACTTCTATAGGGGTCCAGGCAACCAACCAGAGGAACAAAAATGAGGTGGCATGAATTAAATGAAAAGGGATTTGCTAAATATAACTTTGTGAAGGGGGGATGGCACAGTAGAGAAAAATCAAAGCTGACATAATAGTCATATCAAGATAACTGAGTGGGTTAATACATCTATCCCAAATATTTTTACTGTGCTTGAAGTCTGGCAAACATACTTCAATAAGGAGTACAGTTTGGTATAAGTGCACTGGTGTTTCAGAGGTGGACTTCCACTGAACTACATGGTGTTACAAACCAGAAGATCATACTCATCACAGTCACCGCTGAGAGAAACACAAATGCAACATATGTCTATAAAAATTACATTTGAATCGAGAAAATAATGTACCTTCACAAGTTCAAACATTTTAATGAACTGTACACGCACACATGCTGGCACACACAGAATTCTTCCTGCTTTATGTTACATAGAAAAAAGCATGTTTGTGATTATGAATCCTTACCATGAATACCCAGCAGCAATTTCTTTGTCATTCAGCGGCCTACACCTTACCACTACTTGTACTGCTTCATTTTTATGTGCTCGTCGTGGCTGAAGAAGAAAGAAAATTATGTACATATCAATATAAACCACTAGGAAAGAAGTTCTAACTTATTTAACCATATTTTTCACCAGAATTTTTACCTCAAAAGAAAAATGTTACTTTTCATATACACATAATTTAATAGCAATACCAGAAAATTCTCATGCACTTACAATACTTTCACATAATATCTTATACTGTCCAATATTTCAGCTTAGGCAGCAAATAAGTAACAACATTAGAGAAGGTACTGTACAGCGTATTGTTAATGGAAAGCCTAATTAAAAAAATGTTCACAGTGTGTACTGAGAATGATGACAAAGCAGCAAAGAGAAAGAAGGGTTGAAATCTACACATAATTGATAAACAATTATGAGAATATATGACAGAAAGTTCATAAGAGTAATGTGACATGTGATGAAACCTGTATTCACTGTTATGAGCTGAACTCCAACAGGCACATCTGATTTCTACTGTGAGGTACAAATTTAAGGTAAAGGCATTAGCCAATAAAGTGCTGATTCTGTTCTGAGATATGAGGCATCCAATTATAACACACTGCATGTAATCAGGTACAAGTACATCAGCAACCACTGCTTCCTACTTTCAAATGCCTGAAAATTATAAAAGCCAAAAAATGTCACATAAATTTAAGCAAAGGCTTTATGTGCTTCATAATGGCCACCATCACTCTACCACAGAAACAACAGGGGTATCATCGAATTACACTGGGAGGTGCCAACACATTCAAAGATTAAAGTACTATATGATTTTAGGATGTCTGTTCTCTGCAAAGCAGCATTATTAGGAAGAAGCTTTCACAGCGGTGACTATATGGAAACTACAGTGCAATACTGGCTTCAGGAGCAACAAATACAGTATTTTGTTAAAGGTACAAAAACAAGTGTTGGAGCAATGGAATAATTGTACTGCCATAAAAGACTATGATGAAAATTAACCTAAACTACTTTTTTTATATGGTTCATTTTCCAATACACTAATTATATTAAAATAATATTAAGTTACCACCTAAGCATATCTAGTTTCTTTCCTTAAGCTCATTAAGTGATGCTGAAACCATGACATGGTTCAGTCTTTCAAGACCGTCTTTAGCAAAGTGCACCATATTGTGACATGATGCCCGAAAGCTGGAACAGTGAAATCAGAATAGACGTTCACTGCTAGGTAACAGCTCGGTAAACACATTCCCGTGGCAACAAATACACAAGTAATAATCAAGTGACATCTGTTGCTATGCAACAGTGCTGTAAACATGTCCTTCCAATAATAGAAAGGCTGCGTTTTCTGTGTGGTCTGTGCAAAGTAGTTATAAGGAAGAGTCCCGAAGCAGGAGCAGTGTAAAACAGAGTCGAGCATCAAGATGCCAGGCTGCTGGGATAAGAGTTTGGTAGCTGAGGAACTGAATCAAGTCTTCCAAATAGGCAGCTGCGGAATAATGGCAAGAAAGGAATTAGGAAGTGAGACTGCTATAAATCCCTTGCCAGGATATAACTAGTGAAGACTCAGAATCCTTATGCATGCACAGTGGTGAACTGTAAAGTGTGCAGATCACCAAGTGCTGTATTCCTTACAATTCCAAGTACTGTGCATAAGGTGTCGATAAATCCAATCACCCAATCCAAAACCCCATTTATGTTCACCCCTACATGTGACAATATTAAAGGAAACTTTACATTTTATGTATATGAAAGAATGAAATAGTCATAAATTTTTTATGAACATTATATTTCTTTGATTTAGCTGTAAGTAATGCAATCAGTTGATTTTGGTATGCAGGGCCATGCTCTTATGTTGCTGTCTCAATTTCAGTACTCACCTGCTAAGAACCAAATGCTCCCCCCCCCCATCTTTAATATAATACAGAATAAGGAATAAAAGAAGCTTACCACAAACTTTCCAGTCTTTTCCATACTCCTCTCAGGTAATGTTGGCAGCTTATCTGTAGAGAAGGAACAAATAGGAAAAACTATACAGTTAGTACATACTTGGAAATTCTTAAAACACCTGAAAAGAAATTACTACTGAGTATTGAAATACACCACCATATTAGCACACATATATTCTACCTCCATTTTGCCTCCAACAACAAGCCCACAATTATTAGTTTCATGCAAGAGTTATCTTGCACTGCAACTCCCTTCAGAAATGACAAATTTGTACGGTCTGCTGAGAATGATTTTTTCAAAGACACAGAATCCTACCAAGTGAATGCAAATGCAAAAATCATTCAATAACACTACACAGCAGTGATCAATTTTATGGCAGCACACCAAAAACACTTGCATAACGCAGATAAGCGCACATTAGCTAATGGTTTGAGAATCCTGTGTATTCCTTCATTACAGCCATTCATTTAATATATAGGTGGGCTTCTGGAAACAAAATATTAATAATGGCTGCCAGAAGCCAATACTAATCTTCCTAGTTTCATTAGGGCCCTTCAAAAAAGGCCTCTCTTCAATGCTAGGGCCAGAACCTGTTTGTCTGAGGCCCTGCAAATATCTACACAAGCGTCACCTCTGCAGAGCTGTAAATCTTCATTCTTTTCCCAGCCAGAGTATGGCATTAACAAAGCATGTGGTAGAAGGATTCCTGTTCCTGTCCACATTCTCTACATACAGCATTATCCAAGAGGCCCATAACATGTTGAGGCTGTCTCAGTGTCCAGTAGCCAGTCAAAAATCCTGTTATCTGTCTAAAGTGCTCCCTGTTCAAGACCACTACATCCTTACACAGTTTTTCCAAAGGCCCTTCAATGAAGAGTTTTGACTGTCATACATCTTTAATACACGTATTAAAGATAAGCAGCAACACACACAGAGAGAGCCTACACAGAACAATACCTGAACAACGATAAACAAGAAGTGNACATATATTGATAGTCTGGGACTGAGAAATGAACTACCCAATCTCTTACTGGCCAAGGCATCTGCATCCTCATTGCTCTGCATCACCGTGTGGAGAGGGACCCAAAGAAGTGTAACCTTGCTCCTACTGGATATAGCACAAATTGCCTGTTGATATTCCCATGTCAGCTTTGATGTTATCCTCAATGTTGCCCTTGCAACATTGAGGTTTCCTGGCTATCTGCACATATACATTTTTTCTCACATATGGTTCCTTTCTATAATAAACTGTGCATATGATAAAATTGCAGACACTTCTACCTGGAACGCTGTGGAATGTGCTCCATGCTCCAAGTGAGGATAGCTCCCTCAGTATACCAGAGCAGCCATCTGCTCTGAAGAGTTATGGACCTATTAAAATGCACATCCTAGTTACTTTACAAATACCCACCATAGCGGCCCAGGTTTGATCCCGGGTCTGGTCAAGTGGGATTTGTGGTGGACAAAGTGGCACTGAGGCAAGTTTTCTCCAAGTATTTCAGTTTCCCCTGCCAATCTCCATTCCAACTGCTCCACAATCACCCTCACCTATCATCTGGGGCTGGTACAATAGGCCAAAAGTGGCCGCAGTACAAGGGACTTAATCCCACCCCAATAGCAATTAAAAATAAAAAATAATACTTTAGAAATAGCTTGTATTAAATCTGCACAACTTCAACAGTAACAATTAACGAGCGTGAGTGAGTTCAAATGTTATTCTGATGATTTAATATTCAATGAATTTTCTGCAAAAATAATGTGAATAGCATCACAAACGCCATTATGCATACAGAAAGCACAATATTTTAATATTTAACACAAAGCAACTGCTACACATTATATACCATAAGTTAAATATCCCTAGCAAGAAACACAGAAGCCATATGAAATATATTTATCACAAAATCAAAGTATGAGATCCATATCAAGGCACTGAGCAAATCAGCTCAGGTGGTAATGGATTACTTATATTTAACCCGTTGCCGTGGTTCGTCGTGTATGTTTCGTCAGGGATTTNACTAATTCTGTAAAATCCAATTTAATATTATCCCCTTACCCATGACTGGGTCTTTGGAAAAATCTCTTCCTTTCAGAATTCCTTTCTTCAGAATTTCAGAATTTCTGACCAACAAGTTGTACACACTTTTCACCTCTTCCATTTTTGTTAGATGACCCATTCATTTCATTTCCCTTAATTTTACCATCCTAAGAACATACTGTGTCATGACAGCTGAAAGCCAGAATATCAAACCCAGAAAAGGCATCCACTGCTAAGGAACAACAATTAAAAAACACTCACTCAACAATACTTGGACCATTGCTGAGCAACAGCCCATTTAACATTTCACAATGGAGGAATTCTTGGAAGTTCTGTTTTCTATGTGATCTGTGCTGGGGCTCCACTGTCGTGCACTAGTTTTAAGTATAATTAGAATCTTTAGTGCAAGAATTAATTGCAGATGACAAGTAATAGTCAAGCCAATGGGACATAGTCACCTTCTTCTTTGAAGGAACTGACTTATTCCCAGTCTTACTGCTACACAGGAAGCACCCCTGTGGCTTTCTCTTAGAAATTTTGTCTGTGAGTAGCAGAGCGGCAAACTTTGAGAATACGATCTCTGGCAGTTCCAGCACATCATAACTTAAAAGGGGGCATGCAGGAGACCCACTCCAAGCGGGTTATCCATCAGTGAGCTATCAAAAAGGACATTAGGACTTTAAGGGTCAGAATCCCACACTACAGCTAGCTGATTAGAGATCCAAAATTTGTGTGAATTCCTAGATTTCAAAATTACCCAATCAGTGGAATTTAGGGGGAGTGACTTCACTGAGGAATTGACGACCAGGGACCTCAGGGTCTTCAAGGAAGTCAGTCACCAAGTTCAGCTGTCTGCCAACTTTTCAACTGTTTAGATGCAAAATTTGTACCAACGCTGTTCTGGACAAAGCCTAAATTCAACAAGCCAAAGTGTAAACCATTCTGATAACTTCTGGCGTACCAGAACTAAGCTATATAAGGACTTATGTACAAGTATCCACTACATTAACTGTGTGTGTTATTGAGTGAGTAAAAGTGTTAATAAATGATCACTGTGTTTATGTGCAAAGGTAGCATCGCGCTAATCACTCCTCTGTCTAAGCGAGGCCCTCGTCAAACGCTCTGAAAAAGACTCTCAACTTTACCCACAGATGAACTAGTTACCTATCACATTTAGTTCACTTTCATAATCAAATCCATAATTATTGCAAGCCGACACCAGTTGAGCTTACTGGCACCCAACCAAAGAAGAACAAAGGAAAAGAGCAATGAACGTGTGGCAAGCTAAAGGGGTAGAGAAGGTGGGTAAACGACGATTACAAAGAGGTGATGCCAAACATAGGGGCCACTGGGCGATTATAAAGAGGTGACATCCAGCAACGTTGGGTGAAGAGTGGTTATAAAAAGAGGTGGTGCCAAATGTGGGGCGAAGAGCATTAAAATTGCAAGGATAAATGAGAAAAGTTGGCCAGTCTTCAAAAGTGAACATTTAAGCGCCAACATTAAACTAACCCTCCATAAGGCTGTGGTTAGATCTGTAACTACTTACACTTCCCTGCCTGTGAATTAGCAGAAGACACTTACCTCTTAAAATTGCAGTAAAAAGTAAAGTAAAGCTATCCCTGTAACAGGCCATGAAGGCCCATAGGGTTGTGAGACGTTNGGAAGCACCCCTGTGGCTCTCTTAGAAATTTTGTCTGTGAGTAGCAGAGCGGCAAACTTTGAGAATACGATCTCTGGTAGTTCCAGCACAGCATAACTTAAAAGAGGGCATGCAGGAGACCCACTCCAAGCGGGTTATCCATCAGTGAGCTGTCAAAAAGGACATTAGGACTTTAAGGGTCAGAATCCCACACTACAGCTAGCTGATTAGAGATCCAAAATTTGTGTGAATTCCTAGATTTCAAAATTACCCAATCAGTGGAATTTAGGGGGAGCGACTTCACTGAGGAATTGACGACCAGGGACCTCAGGGTCTTCAAGAAAGTCAGTCACCAAGTTCAGCTGTCTGCCAACTTGTCAACTGTTTAGATGCAAAATTTGTATCACCGCTGTTCTGGACAAAGCCTAAATTCAACAAGCCAAAGTGTAAACTATTCTGATAACTTCTGGTGTACCAGGACTAAGCTATATAAGGACTTATGTACAAGTATCCACTACATTAACTGTGTGTGTTATTGAGCGAGTAAAAGTGTTAATAAATGATCACTGTGTTTATGTGCAAAGGTAGCATCGCGCTAATCACTCCTCTGTCTAAGCGAGGCCCTCGTCAAACGCTCTGAAAAAGACTCTCAACTTTACCCACAGATGAACTAGTTACCTATCACATTTAGTTCACTTTCATAATCAAATCCATAATTATTGCAAGCCGACACCAGTTGAGCTTACTGGCACCCAACCAAAGAAGAACAAAGGAAAACAGCAATGAACGTGTGGCAAGCTAAAGGGGTAGAGACGGTGGGTAAACGACAATTATAAAGAGGTGATGCCAATCGTAGGGGCCACTGGGCGATTATAAAGAGGTGACATCCAGCAACGTTGGGTGAAGAACGGTTATAAAAAGAGGTGGTGCCAAACGTGGGGCGAAGAGCGTTAAAATTGCAAGGATAAATGAGAAAAGTTGGCCAGTCTTCAAAAGTGAACATTTAAGCGCCAACATTAAACTAACCCTCCATAAGGCTGTGGTTAGATCTGTAACTACTTACACTTCCCTGCCTGTGAATTAGCAGAAGACACTTACCTCTTAAAATTGCAGTAAAAAGTAAAGTAAAGCTATCCCTGTAACAGGCCATGAAGGCCCATAGGGTTGTGAGACGTTAAGGGTCCCACATTACCTTGACAATCGGCTCAAAGATGGTGGTAAGGTTGTCAGCCTTACGCACCAGCTGCACTTCACTCCCCAGGAAAATTATTTAATTAATTCCTGGTACTCATTTCTGTTAGAGGCTGAGTAAACCCCAGGGCCTAGTGTGGCTGGAAGGATTAAGTCAATTGAAAAAATCTAATGACCTCATCGGGACTCGAACCGTGACCTTCTGGCTTGTAGCATAGTACCTTAACCACTACGCTACCACATACCCCCTTAAAATGGCAGTGACTATAAAATTAGGTTCTGTGCACCATTGGAAATTTTTCAATGTGCACACTAGTCTGCAATTTGCACACAGCTTCCAACCTTCCGTATGTGTATGAGTATATAATAAAATTGCACAGGCAACAAGCAGAAGTCACACAAAATCAAGAGAATGAATATGTTCATGGTATAGGACAAAGTGAAGTCAGGCACAGAAAATATGAGGCTTATACTTGACGGTGGTCAAGCTTATGACCATTCAACTGACTAAGCTGCTGTTGTAGCATAAGGTATGTAAGATAGGCATGATCTGCTCTGTAAAGCATGTACTGACAAAAGAACTTGTGCATAGTGCAAAACGAAAAATTTTCAATAGCATGTTATATATGTGAAATGTATAAAAAAATTTGTGGTTTTAGTCCACAAGTGAACTGAGCAACCACCGCTTCTCAGCGAAGTTAGCGCCAACTTTAGCAGATAGAGTGGTCACCGTAACAAATCCCCACAGCCGTTAATTTCGGTTTCCTAGACCGGAATCGCTATTTCCTTGAAATAACTCCTCACTTATCATCATAAGGCTGAGTGAACCCCGTTCCAGACCCACTGCTTCTCAGAAATTCTGGTAGTGCTGGGAATCGAAACCAGACCTCTGGTTCTGTAGCCAAGAACTCTGACCACTAGACCACAGAGGCAGTCAAATGTATACCTGACAAAAAATCCAAGTACATTTATAAGAGACAAACTTATCTTCTAATCAGAGAGGATGTTACAAAAGGTCTACTACCACAATAGTTCAGTTGGAAGAAAAAATTCTGGTCATGAGTCTCAAAGAGACCTAACACCAAGATGAACTGACTGGCAGTAAACCACCAGATGTTAAGTAATTCTGGCTCTGACTTAGGATTTGACCAATCTGTTAGATTGCTTACAGCCAATTTCACCTAGTCCTTTACTCACTTCTTTCGCATGTTCTGTATCACTGGTTCATGTATTCATAAGTCTCTAGCTCCCACACTTACAAACTACTCCCATACAATTTCACTTATATCCTCATTTCCAGGTTTTCTTAGCTTTCATTTGTTTGACCCAATGCAACAATTATACCACTCATTTATTACTTCTCACTTGACTTTTTAATACAATACACCTGAGTTTTCCCAACAATAAACTCTGTCATGATTTCTTTCACGGACAGTTCTTTTTCCTTATTTCAGACATTTATGCTTTCATGTTAAGATCAAGTACTACTCACTTCTTAGAGACCATGACCATAACTAAATTAAAAACTAAAGATCTCAATGTCATGGATGTACACTGCAAAATGGCAAACATTTTGCTATCAAGTGTCATTATCCTCTCAGGAATGGAACATGAAAATATGTAGATGCCACTGCATAGGGTGAGGTGGGCGAGACTTGTATTTCCAAGTACTGTTGTGCCCCTTCTCTTCCTTGACCTTCACTTAGATACCCTCAAAGTAATGATACCTGATAATGAACAACAGACATGAAAGGGTGCAGTCAGACAGGAAGTACAACATGGGAAAACAACAGAAATAATTTAGACAGTATTGGTGGAAAATATTAAAACACTAAGAATATTGTAGCATTCAGAGCCGTTGCTATGCAACAACTGTGAGATAGGCTGATATACTAGGGCTGTTTCTGGGCCATGGCTTGGTAAACACATTCCCGCAGCTACAGACATGAAAGCAGCAATGGTATAGCGACAGAGGAATGATGCTTTCTTCAGTCCAAGCAGTGGACATTGCCTGGTAAACACATCTCTGCAGCAGCAAATCCATGCACAACAATAAAAGAACTGTGATTTCTATTGTCCATGCCATGATGTTATAAACAAGGGACAAGGTTACAGCTTAGTCGGCCACAAAATATATTGGAGAGAACTGAAGACTGAACCAAACACTGCCTACAGGAAACACAAGGAATCCACCCACATGCCTCTGGTAGATCATCCAATCAGTCAACCCAGCTTGAACATCTCTCCCATCTGGACTCCATTATCACAACAGATGTCTGAAAATCAGTGTATAGCATGTGTGAAAACTGTGTTTTTAATGTTGTTACCATGCAGAAAAACTGTCTCTTTAATGCTGACTTTTATTCGGATAGTATTCTGATTTTAATTGTCCATGCCATGATGTTATAAACAAGGGACAAGGTTACAGCTTAGTCGGCCACAAAATATATTGGAGAGAACTGAAGACTGAACCAAACACTGCCTACAGGAAACACAAGGAATCCACCCACATGCCTCTGGTAGATCATCCAATCAGTCAACCCAGCTTGAACATCTCTCCCATCTGGACTCCATTATCACAACAGATGTCTGAAAATCAGTGTATAGCATGTGTGAAAACTGTGTTTTTAATGTTGTTACCATGCAGAAAAACTGTCTCTTTAATGCTGACTTTTATTCGGATAGTATTCTGATTTTAATTGTCCATGCCATGATGTTATAAACAAGGGACAAGGTTACAGCTTAGTCGGCCACAAAATATATTGGAGAGAACTGAAGACTGAACCAAACACTGCCTACAGGAAACACAAGGAATCCACCCACATGCCTCTGGTAGATCATCCAATCAGTCAACCCAGCTTGAACATCTCTCCCATCTGGACTCCATTATCACAACAGATGTCTGAAAATCAGTGTATAGCATGTGTGAAAACTGTGTTTTTAATGTTGTTACCATGCAGAAAAACTGTCTCTTTAATGCTGACTTTTATTCGGATAGTATTCTGATTTTAATTGTCCATGCCATGATGTTATAAACAAGGGACAAGGTTACAGCTTAGTCGGCCACAAAATATATTGGAGAGAACTGAAGACTGAACCAAACACTGCCTACAGGAAACACAAGGAATCCACCCACATGCCTCTGGTAGATCACCCAATCAGTCAACCCAGCTTGAACATCTCTCCCATCTGGACTCCATTATCACAACAGATGTCTGAAAATCAGTGTATAGCATGTGTGAAAACTGTGTTTTTAATGTTGTTACCATGCAGAAAAACTGTCTCTTTAATGCTGACTTTTATTCGGATAGTATTCTGATTTTAACAAGAATAGCCATGAAACAGTGCAAGGGCATAGGTGTGAGGCCTCCTGTGTATGGAGTTTTTTTAATGTTTATCTTAACTCTTGCAGATGGTTTGTGATGTGCTTGGTTTACAGACCCTATCTTGTGTTTTTGCTGGTGTCCAGAGATACGGACTACCTCTACTGACTGGGCCCAACCAAGTAGATTCAACTGGAAGACAGAGACAGAATGCAGTCTCCAAAACGCTATTTTAAATAAACAGAAATAGGATGATGGATAATGCCCAAAAACATAAAAATTGTATTAACTTTTATGTAACTGGAAGCTGTATGTCTTTTTAATGTAAATTTACAGTTTTCTTTTATATATTTTGAAGAATTCATAACACAATAGAACTTACTACACAATTAAATAGCTTCTATTATGCACTTCATATGAAACAAATATCACAGAAAAACACCTGTATGTTTTAGAAACAGAAAATATTTTTCTGAATGTATTGATACTACTAGACAGAAGAATGAATGTCTGCATCCCAAAAACTTTAGCATTCTGTACCTTCAAAACAGCTGGGTTATTGGCTGCAGCATTTTGCCACTTTCTTAGGTCACAGCAGCCTATAAACACACAAAGTTTCATTGTAATAAAAAATTCAGCTGCCACCATGCATTGGTTGATTTGGCATGGAATGTCTTAGTTATGAAGATTGTTATGCAATTTTCTCTGACTTCCTGTTACTTCCTCTATGTAGGAACTAACATTTTGCTTACTACCATTACCCAGTTCTCCAGTGCTCTCAATAAACTATGAGGTTTCCTGAATGTAACAGGTCACACTTACGTGTGATACAAAACCAGAAAATTTTTAAATGAGAGGAAAAAACAATCTAAACTAAATACTGAAAACTCTAATGTGTTTTTAACTTCTTCATGAATGTACACTTCATCTCTCATTGGAATTCCAAAAGTTCCAAACTCTCATGCATTAATAATCTATTAGCTGCTTTTACAATATGTCACACATTAAGGTAACAAGACATGAACATAAAGGTTTCCTCTGCACCTAGATGTAAACCACTTATTTCTCAACCTCAGCAGCATTATTTCATCAATTATTACCGTCTTTACTTACTGGTATACATAGTTTGCAGAAGTACTGTGATTATGCACAGAATTTATTCCATGATTCTGACAGATTTACATGTTTTCAGCACCCCTGAATAAGAAAAAGCAGCTTCTGGAATGCAATTTGTCTGTTATATGCACACACACCTGCAAGCATGCATGTCTCATTGGTCCATGCTTGTTGGATGGATTTCTTTAATATCCGATATTTCAGATTTTATCCCTCAAACAGTGAATATCAGCATTCTAGTTCCAAAAATTTTGACCCTTCACAGGGACTCCTAGGCACAAAATTGTGATTTCCCCCCCCCCCAAAAAAATTCTTGATTTTGTTTACATTTCAGTAAATCATGGAGACTACCTACATAAATAACATTGTATAGGTGGTATTTACAAGAAAATAACAGTACATCATCTAGCAGCTCAAATACAAAATATCACCTTTCTGGAAAACAGACTAATTTTATTCAACTTTAATCATCTACATAGACAATGGACTTAAAAAAATATTTTGTAGATCACAAAATCGTAAACATAACGGGATTCAAATAACAGAACCCAGCAGTTTTCTCAAGAATGACTTCATAAATTTGATCAAAATTGCCAATTGTATTACCGACAGATTAAATTAAGACTATTATTTTTAAGAGATGCAAATATTTAATTCATAACAGCAGAAGGCTGTGATTTGTCAAGCATATATAAAAAGTATGTGCAGTGTCCTTGCATCAATTTTTTTAAACATGTGGAGTTAAACTGTTACAGAATCTTTCAACTAAAAAGCTCATTACTTGAAAGTACATTCTCAGTTGTACAGTCACATAGTTTCAAGAGATGATGATGTTCTGAAGGATCATACCACCTCCATCTTCAGGATCACAGAGTGAATCTCCAAAACATCAGAGATCTCTCTGAACAACACAGTGTTACAGGCCATGCTTTTCACTGCAACTGCCATAAAAACTTCAAATTTACCTCAGTACTTGTTACAGTTGCTACTGAAATAGTTGTAGTACAGTGGGTCACACCCCTTCACCTTCAGGAGGTACCAGGTTGGATCTCAGCCCCAAAATTGGCCATCCTGACAGGGATTTGTGGTTCCCTTCATCCCTGAAAATGCCAGGACAGTGCCTTCAATTAGGCCACAACTGCTTCCTTTCTCATACTTTTCAATTCATTATTCACTAACCTTTCCATCATCTGACACTATATCCTTCAAGCTACTGGAAGTATCCTTAATTAAATCATACACAGATGTGGATATACAACTGTGTTCATGCAGTTTCACTAAAATGTGCTTTAACTTGATCTCCATTCAAAGAAAAACAACTTTAGAAATGGGATGATGGAGTGCATCAGGTATATGATGCGATAAGCCTCACAGTATTTTAAAACACTGCCATTTCTACTGATTTCCAATTACGATAAGCAACAGGGAGAATGGGGGATCAACACATTGAGCTGTACTTGAATCTTAATAAATAATGCCAAATTCATGCACTGAACAGGTCATATAATATTGCTGGGTTTGTCGGCTCTTTTTAGCACATTAAATACTTTGGTACATATATTGCCAGTAGGTTAAATTATGTTATGTCAGGTTAGAGACCAATGACAACTGCAGGATTCTTTCCAGGATTGGGGAGGGGCGAGCCAGGAAATTATTCTTACAAGCTTATGTTCTGGCAGTTTAACACTAATTTTACTGACTGCCCTGAAGCATTCAGGATAAAACTATATCTCTTAAAAACAAAATTACAATTTCTCATATTAATGTTTGGTGTATTCTTTTCTTTTATCAATTTTGATATTTTAGAAAATCCAGAGGATTATGTCCAAAAACATAATACCTGTAGAAATATACCATCATCACAAACTTTTAGATCTTAACTGGTAAACTTTCCTCCACACATTAAAACTTCTACTCTGTTAACTGTGACTAAAAATCCAGTTCAGCTAAGTATTTTTGTCTCCTCTGTGTTCCAAACATAACTGGAGATAATAAGAGTTAGCAGAATATTTTCATTGTATTGTATATTTTGAACTAAATAGTGAAGTCTCTCAAGGTCTAAACAATTTCCATTAAATTCTAGTACAGTGGAACCTCACTTAACGAGCATAATTCATTCCAGAATCTTACTCGTAATGCGAAACACTCATTAAGCGAAATAATTTTTCCCATATAAATTAATATAAAATACGACAATGTGTTCCATGCCGAAAAACTAAAAAAAAATTATGTATAACGTTTATTCAAAGAAAATTGTATATGCATTGTTAAGGAGCATGAATCATTTTTTCTTCTATGAGCAATGACCCAACCTGGAATGCGAATTCAATTTGCAGAAAACAAAAAAAAAATTGAAATAATTAGTTTATTATTTATGATACCATTAAGGGAGGAACATGCGGCCTCCGTAGTCTAGGGCTAACATTCCCACCTCATGACTCAAGGTACGTGCGTTCAAACCCAGCGGAAGTCGTGGAATTCTTAAGAGCAGAATAACTCAGGGAACAAGTCATCCGGGAGGGACTTCAAGCCGTCGGTCCCATGTCATAGATTTACGGCACATAAAAGAACCTCATGTCTCTAGGAGACCTCTGAGCTAAATTAGGCAAATTTTCCTGCCCAAGTAGTTTCCAATGCCTCCGGTAGATGGGGAAAGCATTTAGGTACCACTGCCAAATGAGGGCCAACCTCGCTGACAGAAAGGGACTAATTATCAGATACCACTGCCAGTAGAGGGCCGACCTCGCTGGCAGAAAGGGGCTGATAGTGAGCACCAGTACCGGTAGGGTATGGAGACAGTAGAAATTAAAGGGGGACCCACAGTGGACCAATAACTGGTCTAAGTGCATGGGGAAACCCACCCCCTCCAATAATGAATGAATGAATGGAGGAACACAGACTGAGGGTGCTTGAGAAGAGGGTGTAGAGGAGAATATTTGGACCAAAGAGAGATGAAGTGACAGGAGGTTGGAGAAAACTGCATAATGAGGAGCTTCATAACTTGTACTCTTCTCCAAGTATAATTAGAATGATCAAGCCAAGGAGAATGAGGTGGGCAGGTCATGTAGCACGAATGGGGGAGACAAGGAATGCATATAGGATATTGGTGGGAAAACCAGAAGGAAAGAGACCACAGGGAAGACCAAGGCGTAGGTGGGTGGACAATATTAGAATGTATCTTGGAGAGATAGGGTGGGATGTTATGGATTGGATAGATCTGACTCAGGATAGGAACCAGTGGAGGGCTCTTATGAACACGGTGATGAACCTTCAGGTTCCATAAAATGCTGAGAAATTCTTGAGTAGCTGCAGAATTGGCGGCTCCTCAAGAAGGGCTCAACTCCATGAGTGAGTAAGTAAGTAAGTATTATTTATGATACATATCTAATTCTTTTTTACTAGAAAGCTGTCTAGAGACATTTGTCTTTGCCAATGCTTCAAAATTTGGAGAAAATGCGACACAGCATTATCATTAAATAAATTTGTAGCGCGCATAGCCACTGCCTTATTAGGGTGATGCTTCTCAATGTACGATGCCGCAGTTTCCCATGCTTTCAGCATTTCTCTGATTGGGCCAGAAGATTTTTGCTCTGCTGTTACCTCCCACTCCTCCTCCTCTGACAAACTCTACTCCACAATTTCTTGCTGTGAAACACAATGCAACACCATAAGCTCTTCGGTGATCAGCTTTTGGCTGTGCTCTTCCACAAGCTCATCGATATCATTGTTATCCACCTCCAGCCCCATGATCTTGGCCAAAGAAACAATCCTGTTGACTACAGGCTCCACAGGTGCTATCTCAAACCCCTCAAAGTCACATTCGAAAACGCTCTCCAGCCAAAGCTTCTTCCAAGCAGAAGTGAGGGTTCTCTTAGTAACCCCTTCCCATGCCTTTACGATCATCTTGAGGCAAGCAACGATGTTGAAATGATATTTCCAAAACCTCAAAAGAACGCTCGAAGAGTGCTTTAGTGTACAGCTTCTTAAAGTTAGAAATAACCTCATGATTTGTTTATTCCGTCTTGCAGTGCATACACTTATCTATCTTCTTCTCTCACTGCACTGCAAGACGGAATAAACAAATCATGAACTTAAATCAGTGCAACAGGACGCTAAAATATAACATTAGAAATAACCTGCTGGTCCATAGGCTGGAGTAACGGAGTGGTTTTGGGAGGCTGAAACTGGATCTTGATGAATTTAAATTCTTCAAGGAGGTCATCTTGTAGGTCTGGAGGATGGGCAGGAGCGTTGTCCATAACAAGCAAGACATGGAGTGACAGATTCATCTCTAGCAAATATTTTTTCACAGAAGGACCAAACACTTCATTGATCCAATCAGTAAAAAGGTCACATGTCACCCAAGCCTTGTTGTTGGACTTCCACATCACATTTAGCCTGCTCTTCTGGACTTCACACTTCTTGAAGGCTCGTGGAGATTCTGAATGGTAAACAAGCAGCAGTTTAATTTGCAAATCGCCGCTTGCATTGCCACAAAATAGAAGCGTGAGATGGTCTTTCATTGGCTTATGGCCAGGCAATGCATTATCCTCTGCTGTTATATAGGTTCGCTGCAGCATCTTTTTCCAGAAGAGATCCGTCTCGTCGCAATAAAAAAAACTCTTGCAGCAGGTAACCCTCAGAATCTACGAGCTTCTGGAAGTCACCGATGAAGTTCTCTGCTGCCTTTGTGTCGGAACTTGCTGCTTCACCGTGCCTTACAACGCTGTGGATGCCGGTTCTTCTCTTAAACTTCTTGAACCACCCACAGCTTCCCTTAAATGCTTCTTCTTCGGCTGTTGATGATCCTTGCAACTTCTTAACACTTTGCAGACTGGCAATTAAAATATTTAAATCACCCTGAGGACCGCCATTATTAAACCTACTATCCTAACACTTGCACTGTTCACTTTAAAAATTAATATAAAATCTCCTAATTAATTTTATGAACTAAAAATTTTTGAGAACACTTACCAATGCTCCTAGAAGTGCTTGAGGGTGTTATTTTTCTCGAAACATTCCCTTCTGTGAAGTGGATTACACAAAACTTGCAAATGTAGACAGCCGTACTCCTTTTCTTGTGAACTGCGCAAACACAGCATTGCCTAGAAGGATGCTTCCCCTTGAAATGTTCACTCTTCACAATTTTTGCGAGGGTATGTTTCCGCATATCACCCGACAGTCGGCCAGGGGGGTCAAAATCAGGCCTGCGTGGGGTGGGAGTAGACAGGCCCGGTCACACTAAGACTGTGTCTGCCACCGGTTCTGCCACCACCATGTGGTCTGTAACCCAGAATTTTGCGACATTCAGCAGAAATGCCTTGTATTTCAATTTTTAATGAGGGTTTAGACTTTTGAAAACCAAAAATGAATTGGAAATGGCACAATTTATAAGCCACAAGGCAACTTTCTTTCACTTTACTGTTTTCCGAGGAAGAGGATAATAGGCCAAGTACTGATCGGCTCTATCAACTCCCTTCATGAACATATTATACTCGGAAATACAAACAGGCTTCTTTACCTGTCCATGTCTCCTTTGAACATCAACCATGAATTGTGGAAATCGTATTCACAACACGAGTATCCCTCCAGGACTGAAGAAGAATATGCCCCCTTCCTACTGAATGTGGTGTCACCACATTTCAGGGATTTACATCCCTCTTTCAGATCTGGAGGAAGGCCTCTGTTCACCTTAATTGTTCCACAAACACATACATTTCTCGAAAGTAGGTGTTCTGCAGTTGCCACACTGTTATAATAATTGTCTTGATAGAGATGGTAATTTTGATCAAGATAGGGTTCTGAAACGTAAAGAACAGTTTCTTGTAATTTCTTTCCTTCACCAGAATAAATTTCTAAATTTCCAATATAGCATGAAGTGCTTTCACTAACTACACGAACAAGTAGGCCATACTTTGTAAGTTTCCAAGGATTATATGTTCGCATATTGCACTACTGACAGCTTGCTACGTATGGCTTGAAGAAATAAAGGCATTTATTTTCCTTTGCAGGGGTATACAGTTGCAGCGAGGTCATGTAACTGATTAGTCAGCAAACATTCCAAAGGCTTATCACGCAGCTGCAGGCAGCTATGTGCAAG